CACCCGGCATAATTTGTTCGAGCAATGAATGTTTATTATCAGTGGGTAATGAGACTTATATGAGCTTATTTAATAATTCTTTTGTTATAGAATCCTCATCGCCGTTATTGTGATGGAGCAGGATGCTTTGCCAACTTTTCCAGATGAAGAAGCATTTACATGTATCAAGAGAGAGTTGGGACTTCCACTTGATTCTGTTTATTCATCAATATCTGCTTCTCCGATTGCTGCCGCCAGTTTAGGTCAAGTGTACAAAGCTCAGTTGAAGTACTCTGGCCAGTTTGTTGCTGTGAAGGTGCAAAGACCTGGTATTGAAGAAGCTATAGGGCTGGATTTTTATCTTATAAGAGGTTTAGGTTTCCTCATAAATAAATACATTGATATAATTACAAGTGATGTCCTTGCTCTTATTGACGAATTTGCTCGAAGAGTTTACCAAGAGCTCAATTATGTGCAGGTCAGTTTCTGATATTATTTTGCATTTACTACTGAAGAATATCAATGTGAGGCACTTTTCTTATACACAGAGATTTGGAAGATTTTCCCTTTCTTTCAATTGTGTGAAGTATAAAGCTATTGGTTGTGAATGTTAATTTTGAAAGGTCTATGCAGGAGGGGCAGAATGCAAGGAGATTTAAAAAGTTGTATGCTTTTTACCTGTAAAATGGGTGCAAAATACTAGGATCAATGAGTGTGTGTGTATCAGTGTATGTGGCTGGGTTAATTTGGTAGGAATTAGGATTTTATTTTGTGCAGTTTTGTTGATGGAACTCTTCAAATTCTGGAATCAGTTTTAGTTTCCAAAGACGTGAAATCGTTGGTGGAAGTGAGATCGGCGTTGACAAAGTCCATGAAAGATGAATCACTCCAAATCCTTCAAGAAATTTCAGAAAAATCTGTTGACTATAAGTTTCTATGTACTGATTTTCTTATTCGTGTTTTCGCGCCTATTGGTGATGTTCAGGTATTATTCTGTTCCATTCTCTAGAATTAATCTAATGTAGAGACAGGTGGTGACAACAGCACTTTGAATTGAATAAGAAAATTAATCACACCAAATGTAATTGTTCATTGTAATGCAATGAGAGACGAACATTCAATGTGGCTTGATTTTGTCTTAATCTAACGTTACTTGATATTTTTTCATTTATATAATTTAGCGGTAATTTGGTTAACTAATGTACATTTAAATTTGTTTATGCCTATTTATAGTGACCTTTATCATTTTGGAGATGATTTTAACTCCATTGTTATCAGGGATTTATCGTTCAATCTTCTGTATGGAGACATTCCATTCTCCTTTTCAAAGTTGAAGGAGCTAGAGAGCTTGTGAGTTTTTGCTTCCTGAGTGCTACTATTACTCATTTTTTAAATTAGCATGTTCTTTTTTTACACGCTCATTTTCTATTGCAAATGGTTTTTCTCTATTCAAGCTGGTAAGACTAATTCATCAAGTTTTTTTCATCAGGATTTTTAAAAAAACCAGTTAATCGGTCCAATACCTTCAAAACTGTCTCAGATTCCAAACTTGAAAATACTGTAAGTTCTGTTACAATCTTTTCATCCACATCTCTGGTTTATGATCACGAGGTCATAAATTTGTGAATTTATTCAAATTATCGTTATAGGGACCTGGCTCAGAATAAGTTGAGTGGGGAAATACCTAGACTTATTTACTGGAATGAAGTTCTTCAGTATCTGTGAGTATGATAATTTATGAAATTTTGNACAATACTAATATATTCTAATACTATGTTGTTTCAGGCCTAATTGTGGAGTTTTTTTGCTGAAGTACATAGAATCCTTCATTTTAGAACAACCAATTGAATCAATTTCGTCCGACAAGATATGTGGATATAGACGAAAATTTTTAGTCTATGTTGCTTTTAATGAATATTTCCTAACTCCCAATTAAATGTATTTACAGTTTGTACCCAGTTAGATGTTTGTACAGTTTATACTATAACCGTCCGTGTGTGATATGAAATTTATAATTTGTGCATCCACTGTGCATCGCACGGGTGAAAGACTAGTAAGGCCTAATATTAAAAGAGTAAAGATTCTAGAAAGGAACTCTAAGATTTCGCATTTCGCTAAGGAACTCCGAGATACTGCAAATGAAGAATAAGGACCTACTGGGAAACGAACAAGAACTCTAAAGAAATGACACTGGAAGGACAGTTTCAATGAACTACAAAACCTCAGTACCAAGTACTACTAGATACATCCAAAGCCCAAATCAATATCATATGAATAAGAAGCCAAGATTGAAGGTCTATAGAACCTTGGAAATGGAAATGAGCATTATGTAAGTTTCGATAGCTTTGAAATAAGAGGAAACTTCGTATTCAAGTTTGCACCTCGTTGTTTTAGACTTCATATATATCTATTTGAGTTCACACAATATCCTACATCGTTCGAGAGAGTGTCAGATACGAACTAGTCTCAACAATAATCAATTGTACTAAAAAAATATGTATAAAAACAACAGTGCATTAAAGGGCTTACGCAGTGGTCTCTTGGCCACCTCCTTGAGTCCCCGTGCTGACAAAGAACCCAGCGGGCTTCCCAGATAGCTTCTGCTCCTTCCACAACTGCCCAGTCGAATCAAAGAATGCTTTCATCTGTGCCGCCATGCACCCGTACCTCGTCGGGAACCCAAACAAGAACCCATCCGCCAACTCCAAGTCTGCAGGAGACCTAATTACCGGAATCGAATCGTCCTTAGGAGGGGCCCGCATTTGGGCCAGGGCATCATCAGGCAGCGTCTCTGGCACCCGAAACAGCACCGCCTCGACGCCGTCCACAGCGTCGACACCCATCTTCATCCGCCTGGCCAGACCCTCCACGTGGCCGTACATTGAGTAAAAGACTATGAAGAGCTTCAGGTTCTTGTTCGGGTCGGGTGGGGCAGTAATGTTGGAAATGGATTTGGGTGGGGATTCGTGTACAATTGTTGTGGCATTGGGAAGTTTTTTCTTGCTAGGAACACAGCCCCCACCTTTTCCCATGAATTCAAGTATTTCAGACTGCAGTTCGAATTGAAAATATGAAATGCAGAAGATGCTTGAGTGTGTGCTATGTTATCATATCATCCCACGTGTCCACGCATTTAGCATCTGTTGGCCTAATTTTTCAGTAAATATTTTACAAAACTCACGATTTTGACAACTTTCATTCACATCTCACCAACTTTTATTAAAAAAACTTAAAAATCTTTTTTGGTTTTTTGATAACGAGGATGTCCGGACCAGCTCGCGCGACTATTTCCACGGAACCCTAAAATTTACGACTGGTACTTAAAATCTGATTATCTGATCGTGCAATAATTGTAAAAACTAGTGACATTAAATCACCCGTGTTTATCTGTAAAATATTATTTGAAGTGAAAAATATTTTTAAAAAGATTATTAAAAGAAGGGAAAATTGCAGTCAATGAACCAAACCTTTCTTTTATTTGCAGACTTTATCCAAACCTTCATTTTGTTGCACCTACAGTACCATACCTTTCAAAAACTTGTATTTAGAGTCCAAATTGATATTTTTTGTTAGTTTGACCATTAGTTATTCAATAAATTGATTTTGACCAATTCTAAAATGGATAAAATAGTAACTTTTAATTAAAATTAGAAAAACAAAATTCTTCTTTACCCCTTAAAATCAACCGCCGACGTCGCCACTCAACTTTGGCACATCCGACGGCACCATTTAGGAAAATTAATGAGAAGATAAACTCTAATGTTAAGAACGTAAAGAAATTAAAGGTAACATACAGAAATAAGAGAAGATATATTCTTCACACATAACTAGGATGTTGTTCAATTGGGAGCTTATCATAATCGATTTTCTAAGGTAAGAAGGTAAATATTCAAAAATCCATTTTTTTCATTTAAAGTTTGATTTTATTTTATTTTTTTTTTGACAAATTTTTTGTTGACGTGCGTTGATATCCTGTGGTTTCGACCATTTTTTTCTTAAACTACCAAACAACAAATCTAAGCTTATTTCACCTCCAGATGGCGAAAGTACATCATTCTAATCCACCAAATCTGCTGCTTCAAAATTTCAGGGAAATCTGCTGCTTCGAAAAATCAACTGCAAAAAGTGTTTTTGTAAATCTTCGAAAAATCTGATGCAAAAACTGTCAATGCAAAAATGGCTACCGCGAACTGTTCTATGTAAAATCATTCTAGGTTATTGCGGATTTTGATGTTTCACACTGAAAGAATTGAGGTTTAAGAGTGAACACTGAAGTGCACAAAAATATTGAGAGATTTAAGAAAATCATAAATCTTGGACGGTCGGCGCTTGATTTTTAGGGGCAAGCGCAGGGTAGGAAAGGTGAAGAAGGCCCTTTTATTTCTTTTTCTTTTGTTTTGTTTTTTTTATATATATATAATTTTAATTCAAAGTTATCATTTTTCCCCTTTCAAAATTGATAAAAATCAATTTCTTGGATCAATTAACAATCAAACTAACATAAATCATCGATTTGGACTCCAAGCACTAGTTTTTGAAACTGCAGGTGCAACAAAATGAAAGTTTGAACAAAGTCTGCAACTAAATGAAATATTTGTTACCTTGGCTGCAATTTTCCCTTGAAAACATGTTGCGCTATTTCTAACAACTTGGAAGTTTAGCAAGCTCTGAACCAAAAGGCAAGAAAAAAAGGTACCAAATCAAAAATAAGCCTTCATAATTAACACCGGTTCTAGCTTACAACGCTATTCAATCAATAATAATGTTTTAACTGGAGTTCAATTGAAAGCACAACTTAAGCCTACAACAAAACATAGTGAACATAAGAAAAAACTCCAAGGTGCATCATTAAGAACATTAAATTTCTATTTATTTTCAGGACTTTTGAGAACACAACTTTCGACGACTAGCCATCATAATCTCCCTCGGAGAACTTATTCTCCGGATAAAAGACAGCCACAACTTGATTTCCACCAAACTTCCTTCCATTCAGTCCTTGTCGTGCTTTTGTAGCGGTTTCAACATCCACATACTCCAGGAAAACCTAGAGGTGAACAGGCAATTATCATTAATTCTCAAATTTACAATTATCAAATGAGCACACAGATCAAGGAAAAATTCAAGAAGTCCAGTGGTATTTCGAACTAATCCATATCAGTTATCAGTCACTGAATCGAACTGCGAACCAGGAAATTTCAAATATAAAAAGCAGCATGAAAATTTTCAAATAAATCACTACAGGCCCGTAATTTCAGAGATATCCAGTGCAAAAATTAAAAAATTTCAAAAGCCAAAAGTGGAAGGACTCTAGAGAATGTGTGCGCTTTTTAAGGAAGCGCGCTTTCTATACCAACCTTTCCTACACCTGGTGTTGGTTCGCCATTGGGATTTGGGCGCGGAATAACCACATTCATCATTCATGGACGTCTATTCTTCGTCACAATATAATCAACAATATTCCCTGAGGAAATGCATAAAATTAAACAGAAGGTTAACAAATTCTGATGATCATTATGTGGAACTAGAAAAGGCAGTAAAGAATCATCCATATGCAGTCATATTAATTGGTCAATCAAAGTGAAAACCATAAACAAATAATAGAGGTTCAAAGGCAGATTAACGTAATTACCAAATTTCCCACATTCTGCTCTCATGTCTTCTACTATGTCCTCATAATCCTCATCGTCCCTAAGCTCATCCGGGGTAACCACTTCTGTTAGGCACAAAACCTTCGTGGCTGGAGCAGCAGGTTGTTGTAACATGAGTCTCTGCAAGAGAAATGGAATTAAGAAATGCTAAACCCAGCAGAAGGCTCGACTCTGGTTCCATTTTTTTCCGAAAATTGAATTCTAATCATATAAAAAATAACGGCTATCTGCAAAGGTCTTGGATGTAGAAGTATATAACAAGAGAAAGAGAGATAGATAATACAAATGATTGGAACTCATCAACAATGACAGAGATTTCCCAATTTGCTGATTTACTCAAATCAGCAGTGACCTTTTTGATGAAAATATCTTCTCAGAGGACATGGAAATGCTTAAAAAAAAAATGTACAAAATGATTTCTAGATAGGAAATTTTTTAATACAGTGAAAAGCCAAAAATTGAATTCCCAACTTCGATGTTTGCACGATCCCTCTACATCTTTCTCTTTTCCCAGGGATAGCTTTCTTTTGAAATGATATCAACCAACTTTATTGACTAAATTTAGCATATCCATGTAAAAATATTCAAAACCCAATAACTTATACAAGAATTAACAATAACTCGTTCAGTCAATCAAAACTATTGGAAAAATAAATTCATTTATTTGTTACCCTTATTGATATTGTGAAAAAAATCTTAGCAGCATTTATATTTTTAAACTGCTTTCTGAAATACTGAAAATCTAACATATATTTTAGACCATTCAATTTACCAAGAAATTAATAATGATCAAAACTAAAGTACCTGCAGATAAGAAGCAGTGCATATAATCAACAATATTCCCTGAGGAAATGCATAAAATTAAACAGAAGGTTAACAAATTCTGATGATCATTATGTGGAACTAGAAAAGGCTGTAAAGAATCATCCATATGCAGTCATATTAATTAGTCAATCAAAGTGAAAACCATAAACAAATAATAGAGGTTCAAAGGCAGATTAACGTAATTACCAAATTTCCCACATTCTGCTCTCATGTCTTCTACTATGTCCTCATAATCCTCATCATCCCTAAGCTCATCCGGGGTAACCACTTCTGTTAGGCACAAAACCTTCGTGGCTGGAGCAGCAGGTTGTTGTAACATGAGTCTCTGCAAGAGAAATGGAATTAAGAAATGCTAAACCCAGCTGAAGGCTCGACTCTGGTTCCAATTTTTTTCCGAAAATTGAATTCTAATCATATAAAAAATAACGGCTATCTGCAAAGGTCTTGGATGTAGAAGTATATAAAAAGAGGAAGAGAGATAGATAATACAAATGATTGGAACTCATCAACAATGACACAGATTTCCCAATTTGCTGATTTACTCAAATCAGCAGTGACCTTTTTGATGAAAATATCTTCTCAGAAGACATGGAAATGCTTAAGAAAAAAAAGTACAAAATGATTTCTAGATAGGAAATTTTTTAATACAGTGAAAAGTCAAAAATTGAATTCCCAACTTCGATGTTTGCACGATTCCTCTACATCTTTCTCTTTTCCCAGGGATAACTTTCTTTTGAAATGATATCAACCAACTTTATTGACTAAATTTAGCATATCCATGTTAAAATATTCAAAACCCATTAACTTATACAAGAATTAACAATAACTCGTTCAGTCAATCAAAACTATTGAAAAAATAAATTCATTTATTTGTTACCCTTATTGATATTGTGAAAAAAATCTTAGCAGCATTTATATTTTTAACTGCTTTCTGACATACTGAAAATCTAACATATATTTTAGACCATTCAATTTATCAAGAAATTAATAATGATCAAAACTAAATTAGAAAATAACAACTGTCATAACTGTAATCAGAGTATCGAGTTTTGCCTCAGTAAGGTGACTCGTAAGCGTTGAAGCGCTGTAAGCCGCAAGCCTCAACATAAACCGATAGAGAATAGGTCAAAAGGTTGAAAATATACCAAAAAAAAAATCAACCTTAGGACAATATTTCAATAAAATCAAAGTCCATTTCACAACTAGAAACAAGAAATAGACTCAAAGTAGCAAAAGTAAAGTAGCAATCACATAAAAAGACCATAATGAATTTTGATTGCTTTTAGAGATTAAAAAAAATACTAAAAAGAACAGTGAAGGTGTATATTTCACATAACCACAGGGGGACTGCCAAAAAATTACTTGCAGGGCTTACTGCATTTAGTTATAAGAGGCTGGGGAAAGTCTGGCTTCTCTTGTTCTATCATCTTATTTTCAATCCTTTCTTCTCTAGTTTAGAGTAAACAGTTTATAAATAACTCAAAAAATCCTTAAAAACATTCTAGACTCCTAAAAAAGCACAAAAAGTTGACGTACAGTAAGAACATAAAGGCAAAGCC